TGACTATATGAAATGCCCAACGGCAACGAAAATAAACAGCGCGTCCATTCCACGCTATACAGCCAGCAATGGTCCATCCCTGTGATCTTTTGCGCTTGTCAAGTATATGTGCAATTCTTCTAGTTTTTCCTCGAGCTTTCGGTGTTCAAATTCGAGTTTTGCAACAGACTCGTAGAAAACATATGTTCCGCGTGATAATAAGCACATCCATAGGCCGCCTCCGATTAAAGCAAGCCCACCATACAGCAGCATGTCCCATGATGAACGACTAGATTCCTGATATTGCTTGGCTAGGACACCCGTAGTGAACGTGCAACCTGTATTGATATTTGAATAAGTTATATTTTTTTCATAATGTGATCTCTTGTAGTAGCTAGCTTTTAACAACATTTACAATTGTGGATCCTCGAGATTACTACAGGGAGTATAAAATGAAATGAACTGTTAGGAAAATCACTCTAAAGTCATCAGCGCGCTAGAGTTGCAAACACTTTTGGTCAAAATAGTTGGTTAGACTTCTAGTGTCTCATCAGCCAGTAAAGTTGTGGAAAGAAAGGAATATTTTTAGAATAGAATTTTTGTTACCGTGAAATACTTTTGAAATAGCTTGCGCACATAAATGAAAAAGATGAAAAGCAATTGTAACACATATTGTTAAAATGCTGCAGATGTTGTTCAAGCTAACAAACTTTTAGGAGTTTTGACTTATGTGCGCAAACGCTAAGCTTTTCGAAATGGTGGTTATTTTAAAATGAAATGAAAGATACTCAATCAAAGTTTCTTATCTCGTTATCTTGGTATTGCTGAGGTCAATGTGTTATGATATTAAAGCGTTTCTGTTCGTGAATTTTATATCACGTGATTCGACACAATCGGAAACACGAAAATAGAAAGTCAATTGACCTTATATGGATAATGTTATTAGTTTTCTACTTATTTTTTCTCTTTAGCTTTTGTACAACTCACAGTATGATTAAGGAATGTTGTCACATGCAAGTTAAAAATAAATTATCTTGGAGAAATCCTGGGAAATTCCCTTTGCTATATGGGTTTCCCTAGCTTTTGCCCTAGCTTTCTATATCTTCAAATGCAAATATTTCCTCAAATGCAAATATAAAAGCCAAATTTGTGCTTTCTCACATTCTATCATCTTTCTCTTTACCGTTTTTTCAGTTTTTTCGGTTGTATTTCGAATAAACCGGCATTTTCCAATTGATTGAAGTCATAGTGGTGCCGAGGGAGAACTTTGCAGAATTCACTTACTTCATTCGTGTTTTTCCTGGTGTCAGGTGGCTTCGGGCAAGTAATAGGTAATCACCCATCAATATTTACTTGAGTTAACCTGGGTTGACCTTGATGCAATTGTAATTGACATGATAGAACTAAGTTTACACTTGCGATATAAAGTTCTTACAAACTAATGAGCACAAGTGGTCTAATTATTATAATATGGAGCCAATGAGATTCGAAAATCCTCGTGATTGTTTCACAATGTTATACAAAATATTATCAACATTGCGACTTGCTGTTGTTGATCAATGATCAGATGCAACATGACAAATGACTATTTCAAGAATAGATTTTCATAATTCAAATACGATTCATTCTGGAGCTCAGATATAGCTACGGTTCGGGTAATAGATTAAAAGATCTGCTGGTCAAATATTGTTTAAGACTCTTGTAATTTGATGATATCAACATTTTTTGTTACATTATATAAATATTAACGTGTATTAAGGAACATTTTACAAAGTTTGGGCAATTATGTAATAACTTATAAATGCTTTCACTGAAAAATATTTAGAAAAAGCTCCGGTTTTTTGTCGCCTGTCCGAAATGATTTGACTTTTTCCATTGTTCCCGATCTCTGGATAATAAATGAAACAAATTGTATGCAACTTTTTCTATCATTGCCTACGCTGTTCATCAGCTTGTCATGATTAGTCCATCAGTCTTCTTAATTATAGCCATTCTGACCGTAATTAGTTTTATATTTAATGAGTAGTTGGCAAACTCTATACATAGTTAAATAGTTTGCTTAAAGTTTTAAATTAAATAGGTTGTTATATTTTACTGATAAATTTACACCTGTTAAATTAACTGTCCTCTCAATATTTACTCCAGTTCTGTGTTCACAATTTGAGCTCCAATTGATTGATATTTTGTATGGTTACCATAAGAGGAAAATGAATGTATTCAAACAAAGCTTCTTAAATTTGTGTTCTTTTTTTCAATTCGTTTGTGTTATGATTTTTAATTTTCATGAAATCTCATTCGTGGATATTGCACTCGCTGATAACGTAACATGAGTCGACAAAAACAAACAATAAATTAACTTTGTATGAACATCATCATTTGCAATTCTAAGTATTTTACATTTGCAGACTACACCATCAAGTTACATGCATGCTAACAAAAATTAAACATTCCTTGAAAGTTTGCTCTTTGTATTTCCCTTACAGTTAAAATCCATATAGATGTTGAGCCTATTTTCACCATTATTTGTGATGTGACTATTTGTTCATGTATCTTCTGAAAAATGTAAATCCTCAACGCGTCAAAAAGAACTGACCAAGTTCTAGAACCAGAGCTTATCTTTATAGCAGTCGAGGTAGCATAATGAGTTTTTTGAACTTTTAGATTCGCTTCCAGACTAACCTAAGTACATAATGGAGTGTGTCGAACATGTCAAAGAGCAACAAGCTCATATTGAATTGTCTACTATGAAGGCGAGAAGGTTTCTTGATCAACGTCCTAAGGCAGGCTAAAGTGGGGATCAATTTGTATAGAATGCAATTTATAAATTATAATGGCGGCGCAAGCTATATTTATAAGCTCGCTGAAAAAATAAACATTGCAGGGGTGTCGAGTGGCACGATGGAGGCGAGCAAGAGTAAAGATTAGAAATATAGATCGCTGATGAAAAAGGCTTCATACTATAGTTGTACTCTATGAAGCTTCCCTCTGGCGTGTTGTTTTATCTTTCTGCCCATCCCATAAATCTATCGTTGAGCGTTTTAAAGTTGACAATAACAAAAATGCATGAAGAAACGTCGAGTAGCAGCATAGCTCCCAAAGCTTGAATACTATAAGAGAGTGGTCTGAGGAGAAAAATGCAGTCAAAGGCATTGCGTATGGTGAGCTCAGCAAAATATTGTTTTCACTATTTACTAACAATTCTCTTTGTATGTTGCAAGTAGATTGCCCATTCAGTAAATCAAATTTTATAAAAGTTCAAAAAGCCATTTTCTTGAAATGATATTTGCTGTATTGCTTTTTTTCTACACTTGTACCTTATGATAAAAGCTATTATAGTAGTCTTGCATGAAACCTATACAGCTTCCGTTTGGTCGCTCTTATTTCAACAATTTCAAAACGCTAATTAGCTACTATTTAGTTGTACTGCAGCGTTATAAAAGTACTTGATTGCTGGTTAAAGCGTGTTTGATAGCTTCTATATATATAAAGCTATTTGTAGATTTTTCACAAATAAAAATACAAGATAATAATATCAATTTTAAACAAAAAGAATGATAGCACAGCGCTATAACCAACAACTACAAACAATAACGACCTTATCTAACAACATTTGAGAAATTAACCTTCCACTCTCTATAACATTCCAACTATTTAACCTTGTGATTATACTTATACATATTGGCAAGGGATGCTTGTAACAATCTATGTTTAACATCAATATCAATTTTATTAACTTCTTATAAACTATTGTAACATAATTTTTGAATAGATGTATGTGTACAGCTTTATATATAAATGCTATACATAAAATACATGTGTGCAACATTGATGAATTAAATACTTCGGCAAATAACGTCAATGAGATTACTGCATTAGAATGAAGATATTATTTTAAGTCTGTTTTGATATACCTCTACAAAACTAAAACACCAAAAGAATCAAACACTTTAAGAAACAAGGTCGGTGAACTCTGTCGTGTCATTAGACTTAGTTCTCTCTAGAACAACACCGTAATCGTTGTTGTAAGTTGTTCAATTTGATTGATAAAATTCCATACTTCAATTTATATTTCTCAAGATTTATTCGCAAATTATAAGCTCGACTGGGAAAGGGACGTGCCAAACACATGTAGCAGGAAGATATGCAACCTACCACAAACGAGTATGGGAATGCGAGCTGCTTCATTATAGAAAATACTAAAGAAGGTACAAAACTTTTAAGACCCACAAGTTTGCCTTCAGAGGATGTCATCCGAAATATAACATAGCAAAGTATCCCCCATCCAAGTAAACGAACGCTTCGTGTGACAAATTTTATTGTGCCAGCAATTCCTGTAGTTCTTCAATGATGATTTTGCCTGTGATAGATAGTCATGACAAAGATTAATTTCCAGTTGTGGATTCTCAGGTTAGCAGTCCGGTAGATGCGTGAGTCGGAATCGTATAATATAAGTAAATGATTTTTATTCGATCTAGTAAATAATGATATAGTATAAATAACAAATGTGCAGTTTAACAGTATACCAAACGTAAATACATGAACTCACTTCTTTGCCGGGTCCTCACGATCTACATTAATTTCAATACAGGTTAGCCGATATAATAAAGTAATACAATGATGAAGCTTTCGCCCAGGTTAGCATGTGGTAACTGTCAGCTGCACTATAGACTCAAATCCTTTTTATTCCAATGAATATTGCGCGTCAAATTACGCGTCAGTTAAAACATGCATAAATTAAACTCCAGTGCTAAATAATTATATCCGTGCAGTTTGTCAGCAATCCATCCTCCCCCCCCCCCCGATAAGGAAACATTACTTATCAGTTTATTTCTTCTGCTGCTTGAATCACAGCAATCTTGGTGATTGGTCTGAGTACTCTCCTGAACTTGTTTTGACCTTTACGTTTCGTACCTTTCCATCCTCTCCGGGTACACTTCTACTATCCGTCCTACTGTCCACTTTCCTCGTACAGCATTTCCGTCAGCCACTATTACCACATCATCAACTCGCACATTTCTTTTCCTGATTCCATTTTTTTCTGGGGACAAGTAATGGAAATGTGTCTCTTGTCCATCGTTTCCAAAACGAGTCCACGATCTTTTGCACAAACTCCACCCTTCTTCTGGGGTTTTTGGTTTCTTGAAATGGACCTTGTGGTACTTGAACAGATGCTCTACCCAGGAGCATATCATTGGGGCACAAATATGAGCCGTCATCGGGATCATTCGGAGGTCGTCCAATTGGGCGTTGATTTACTAAGTTCGCTACTTCCAGTAAACAAGTATACAGCTCAAACGGAGTAAGTATGTGTTCTCCAATCGCTCTCTTCAGGGCTCGTTTGCAGCTTTTCACCATCGCCTCTGCACATCCGTTTTGATGTGGTGCCGCTGGGGTGCTAAACTTCCATTGTACTCCCTTTTCCGCGCAGTAGTCTTGAAGTAGCCTTTGTCAGCTCCTTGGATCATTTTGCGCAGATCGGTCAATGCACCAACAAACTGCGTACCGTTATCACTCAAGATTTCTGCTGGGTATCCCCGAATTGAGAAGAATCTTCGCAGAGTCTGGATAAATTCCATCGCTGAACAGTCGGTGGCGATTTCTAGGTGGACTGCTCGAGTATTTAGGCACGTAAAGATTACTCCGTAATGTTTCGTTCTCTTGTTTCTTCCCACTTTGACAGTCAGTGGTCCAAAGTAGTCGCATGCTGTGTAGTGGAACGGTGGGGAATGGGGTTGAAGTCGCTGTGGTGGTAAGTTGGCCATTATCTGTGATTCAGTTTTTGGGTTTGCTGCTCGACATGTGACACACTTTGCCTTGATGCTCTTTGCTAAATCGTGTGCTCGAATGATCCAATACATTCTTCTGATTTTTGCTACCGTAGTTGCCACGCCGTGGTGACCTCTTTTGTGAAACTCTTCCACTATCAATTTGGAGACTCGGTGATTATAGGGCAAGAGAGCAGGATGCTTGGTTTCGTAAGAGACTAATGAGTTATCAATTCTTCCGCCAACTCTGACCGTGCCTTCTTCATCGGTAAAAGGGCTCAGAGATCTTAATTCGTTAGATTTCAATTGTGCACGAATCTTTGTTTGAGCTCTTTTAATCCAGAATGTCCTACTTCTTTCGAGTTCTGCCGGTGTTAAGCAATCTCCTCTTGCTGTGTCCTTCGCTGTCGACCGTACCTTTGCTAATAATGTTGACTTAGCTCTCAAAACCCAAGCAGTAACTCGTACGAGCTTTCTCCAACTTGAAAACCTTTCACTGTCAATTACGTTTACTGACGTTGTCACTGCACCTACCAATTTTGAACTTCTACATTCCCTTTCAACTTCTTTTGCATCGGGTTTTGCGTTTTCGACCGGCCATTCTTCCTTTGGCAAGTACAGGAATTCAGGACCGTTTTTCCATCTATCCGACAGCTCAACAACACGGAGACCACGGGATACATCATCTGCCACGTTCTGATCCGTTGGGATGTGTCTCCATTGAGCAGGTTGGACGTTGCTTTGTATTTCCCCGACTCGACTTGAAACAAATGGTTTGAGTCGTCTTCCATGGCTGCGGATCCACGCAAGAACAATTGCGCTGTCGGTAAACAAGACACTCTCTTTAGTGGTATACGGAGTTCATTTTGGATGGTCTTGCATAAACGGCTGGCTAACACGGCTGCTTGTAGTTCTAATCTGGGTATTGTTAGCTCTTTCAATGGGGCGACTCGTGACTTTGCTGCAACAAACCGTACGTTCACCACTCCATTAGGTCCTATACTTCTCAAATATGCACATGTTCCAAATGCTTCTCGCGATGCGTCGGCAAAGGCACATAAGATCGGTGGCTCAATCATTACAACGGGACATAGACATCTTTCCAACGATATTTCGTTTAACTGATCCATCTCTTTAAAGTACGTCAACCATTTTGTTTGATCACTTTGCGATAGTTCATGGTCCCAGTCGAGTCCTTGCTGCCACAGTTCCTGCAAACCAATCTTTGCCCTTATAAGGTAAGGTGCTGCAAAGCCTATTGGGTCATATATTCTAGCGACTTGGCTTAGGATCTTCCTCTTTGTGAACTTTGGCTGTTGGGTGTGGCATATTTCTACTTTTACTTTATACTTAAGCACATCCTCTTTCTTGTTCCAGGCCAGGCCGAGCACTTTTGACTCTTGTTTTCCATGAGGAACATCAACTTCATTACCATCTTCTTGCTCGTCTTTCCTGTTCAACTCTCCGTTTGATTGCCATCCCTTCACATGAAACCCGCCATTATCAAGGATGCTGTCGATTGCTTTAGTCAACCCGATTGCTTCTTCATTTGTAGCAACTGAATCCAGAATATCGTCCATGTAAGAATTGTCCTTTATAACTTTTGCTGCTCTCGGGTTCTCTGATGCTCCTTCATCTGCAGTTTTCCGCAAGGCAACTTGGGCCATCGCAGGTGCAGGTTTGTCACCGAACGTAAGTACGTTCATAACGAAAGTGTCCGGAGGTCTATCAATCTCTAAATTCCTCCATAGGAATCGGTGTACCTGCTGGTCTTCGACAGGGATAAGGATTCGGTGGTACATCTTTGAGATGTCCGCAGTGAGGGCAACTTTATTTTCCCTAAAACGGAGAATAACTCCGAATAGAGAGTTCAGAAGATCAGGCCCCTTTTGCCAATAATCGTTCAGCTTATGTCCTCGGAACGTAGCGGACGAGTTGAAAACGATACGAACCGGGGTGCTTGTACTGTCAGGTCTTAGAACTGCATGGTGGGAGATGTAATGGACTGGTTCTTTGTGTTCCTTAACTTCCTTCTCGGATAACTTTCGAGAAAACCCCATGTTTTCCATTTCTGTCATCTTGTTGTTGTACGCTGCTGCTTGCGTAGGAATTTTCAATAATCGACGCTCAGTTGACTCTAGTCGTTTCAATGCCTGGATTCTGTTATCTGGTAAGTCTTGGGGGTTTTTCTTCCATGGATATGGAATCATCCACTGCTTTCCAACCTTTTTTGCAGACTGTTCAATCACTTGCTTTTCTTCTCTTTCGGATTGGCTCAATTTTTCAGCTTCACAGGTGCACGGCTTTACTGTTACTCCCATGGCTTCGGTTGTCCAAAATTCTGATAAATCAACTGCTTCTGGGTACCTCACGTGTAATACAGTTGTTGTTGCATTGTTTGACTGTCCCGTTGATGATCCGAACAGAACCCAGCCGAGTGGCGATTCTCTCGCGACCACATGTTCGACTTGCTTTGTTTTACCCGTGTGCATGTATGCATGATCGATTCCAACAAGTAAGTCGACTTGGCCCTTTCCACGCTTCACCTTGTCCTTTGGTAGTCCGAGTTTTTCGATTGCATTCCTGGTATTGATTCCTTTGACATCCTCGCTGATATATGGTATTCCAACTGCAGTGATTGTGTACTTCTTTGATTCTCCGATTCTGCTTACTTGAACTTTGTAGCTCTTTGTGCAGATTGACTCTTCCTCTCCACCTATTTTTATGATGTTAACGGAGATGTCTTTCCCTTTCAGACCGAGACTCTCCGCCGTTTCGCTGCGGATTAGACTTATCTGAGCTCCAGAATCCAGAAGAACGTTGCCGCGCTTGTAGAGACCATTTGATCCGCCAATGTTAGCAGAAATCACTGGTAGGATTGAGTTGTTTAGACCAGTTACTGATGCAACCGTTGCAACTGACTTGTGCAGCAGCGGATGGTGACTGGATGTGCACTGGACTCCATTTTCATACTTGGTGCATTGTTTTCGCCTGTTGCAATTTGCTTGACGATGATCCCGACCCGCTTTCTTCAAACAGCTGAAACACACGTGATTATCTTTCGCAACTTTTATTCGCTCATCAACAGACATCGCTGCCAATTTTTGACACTGGTCCGGCCAATGATTTGAGTTCTTGCAGAGCCAACACTTGAATCGGTTTTTACTTTCTTCCGTGACTGTACCATTGACATGATTGACTTTGCGTCGAGTGAGAGACGTACCACTCCTGACTGGGGCTGTTGCACGCATGCGCGACTTCATCTCAATTGTCATCCAATTCATCAACGCTTTAAGGGTTGCGGGCTTTTTCTCTCTCTCTAAGTCTCTCGACCACACTTTTCGATCATCTGGACACATCTTTTGTTCAATTATGGATAGCATGTGGCTGTTATCCATGTCACTCGGAACCCCTACCTCTTTCAACGTGTTGAAACACCGCCTAACCAAATGAACTAAATCACAGAAACGCGCGTCTTCTCCTGTTTCTAGGGCTTTAAATTTAACGATGTCCTGCGTTATGGTGTCTGATACGTACCGAGGGTCCCCGTAAATGGAATCTAAGTATTCCCACGCTGCATCATAATCAGAACCAATACCTTTTATTAATTCAAGTGGTTTCTCTTTAAACAAGTTCGCAGTAGTGTTATTGAATCTCGTTTTGTATATCTCGATTCAATTGCATGCTTGAAATCCGCACGAAATATTGCATATTCACGTACGTCGCCCGAAAATTTCGGTAGCTTTGGTTTTTCCATTTGAAACCCGCAGGGACTTCGTGTATTTTCAGATTCATTTTTTACTTCAGATTGGGACGTAATTTGATTCGGAAAATTTTCCTCATTTGTTGGGCTTATTTCGGTGGGAGCGTTGACAGATTCCTCGGAAATTACCGCGTGGGAACTTTCCGCCACATTGCTCATTTCATCACCTACGCTGGTCGGGTTTTCCTCAATAACTGTGGGGCTCATATTACTTGCGCTGTCAACATTTTGCATTCCGATCATTCCAGACGAATTTTGCTCGTTTTGACTGATGCTAGTTTCTGAAGTTTTCACTGAAACCAATTGTTCGATATAATATTTTGCCTCAATATCAAGTTTTAAAAATTCGTTTTGGCACTCATCTAACCAATGCTCTTCTGCTTCAAAAGCTTCATCGTTCATAATCAAATTTGCATAAAGCTCATGTTTCTCTACCACGTTGTCGAACGCTTGTTTTACTTTGACGAGATAGTCGCTTACCTCGTTTGCTGGTCTTTATTTATACACAGATGATTCAAGGCCTTTCCCAGTCTTGTCAATGTAGACTTGGCTGCTCGGCGTTTGAGCTTAGCAGTCTTCAGTGCCTCGTCTTCGTTACTCATGGTTCAGGTTCTCCACGCGATTAATTTTTCTTCAGAAATCGAATGTTGTGGATTCTCAGGTTAGCAGTCCGATAGATGCGTGAGTCGGAATCGTATAGATTATAAGTAAATAATTTTTATTCGATCTAGTAAATAATGATATAGTAAATAACAAATGTGCAGTTTAACAGTATACCAAACGAAAATACATGAACTCACTTCTTTGCCGGGTCCTCACGATCTACATTAATTTCAATACAGGTTAGCCGATATAATAAAGTAATACAATGATGAAGCTTTCGCCCAGGTTAGCATGTGGTAACTGTCAGCTGCACTATAGACTCAAATCCTTTTATCCCAATGAATATTGCGCGTCAAATTACGCGTCAGTTAAAACATGCATAAATTAAACTCCAGTGCTAAATAATTATATCCGTGCAGTTTGTCAGCAATCCAAGTTGGTATGACCATACAGCATTATTGTGTTTTCGCAATGTTTTATTCCTCTTTTCATTAAGCTCTGAAGTCCTTTCATATTTCACCTCAAGCATACGAAAGCACTCTCAATATGTTTGAATTTTGGTCTATGGAGAATCTCTGGGAAGTCTAATGTGTTCCACAATTTCAGATTCGGCATATTTTCCATTATACCAATTTGTTTTAATGATTTATTTGATGTGTTTGGGTTTTTCCAAGCAATCCCAAACATAAGCAAAGGTGTGGTAATTTTTCCAACAATTTTT